AAGAATTGGAAAGGATGGCATGATTGTGAAGCAGAGAATGGGAAAAGATGTTTAAAGAATATTGACACGTGAAAGACAAATAGGAAGGTGTATTTATAATTGCGATTGATCATTTAATGAATGAGTAAAGTTTGAAGGTTTTTCAACTGGTTGTGATGGTTTTGCAGGTACTTGATTGTTTATAAATTTATAATAACCCAATATAGATCTGAATCTTATTTCGTTTCCATTTTCCTTCTTGTCCTTTTCCGAGTAAAATGCACGAGACCAACTGCTTCCGTAACTCACCAACTTATCCCAGCATTTTGCATCAGGAAATTTTGGCTTGGTTAGCTAATAAAGGATCTCATCATCTTAACTTTTCTTCTCTTTGCTAATAATAATAATACCTCATTTTACAAATATTTCATATTCAAAGTTTTATTTCGACTAAAAATAAAATTATTTATAATATATAAATAGGTTAAATTTTATTTCATAAATTGAGTTTTGTAAAATTAAATTAAATTAAATATTTTATAACATATATACATAGGTAGAGTTTTTGTTAAGAAGTATACTTTAAATTTAACTCACGAAACTAGTTTTTTAAAATGAGATTCGCATCCAAGTATGAGACTAAATATGATTCTTCTATCATTGATATTATGTTTTTTAGTAACTTTTTTTTTAAAATAAATTCTATCAAAATCAAAAGTTGATTTTAATTACTGACTTAGGCTTTGTTCGTTTAGAGTGATTTGGAAGAGATGATTTGAATGGATTTGAGGGTAATTTTTTTGTTGTTTTTTTGATTGGATTTGTGGTTAATTTAGAGTGGATTTGGAAGTAAAGTTTGTGAGAATTAGTGTAGGATTTGATTGATGTGATAGATTTTAAAAATTAGTTTAATTGGTATAAATTAAATATTACCAAAATGCCCTTAGTTATAAAAGTAATATAAAATGTTATTTATAAATGTTATATTTAATTGTAAAAATGTTTATAAAGAAAAAAAATTATGAATAATTTATAAAATTAATGTTTAAAAATTATAAAAATTAAATAATCAACTTATTTTCAATAAATTAGAAAATATAATATACCTAATTTTATTAAGATGTAGATGTTTTTAAATTATAATATTAAAATAATTATAAAAAAACTGAAAAATATATAGTCTGTAACCGGTTACTGCGTAACCGGTTACGCGTGTGCCACCAAAACCTCATTATTCTGTAACCGGTTACACTCTGCTGTAGCCGGTTATCACTTCTTTAACCCCGCTGCTTCCACGTTTGGTCATCTTCATATCCGTACAGGGCATATGAGTCTTTGTGTATTAAATCAGAGCAAATCCTTACAAATTGACGAGATAAGTTCAACCGTGCTATCTTGCAAATCAGCACTGTTCCATCGTCCCAAATCGTAGCAAATAATCGCAAGAGAACAACGCTCGTTTTTGAAATCCATTCTCGCCAATCACCGTGAACAGTCATTTCCCTTCAAACAAACACAGCGTTAGAAATACAATATTGAAAGTATACTATATATATATAGGTTCATATAAGAAGAAAAAAAAAATAAAAGCTCATAGGAAAAACAATAAAAATATTTCGACATAGGATAAAATAAAGAAAGATGAATGAAGAGGATTTTAATTGTGACCAGAATTTTCTTTACACCTTCTTTATGTCATCATCGTATACTTTTAACTCGAAATTACACCGGGGGAATAATCAAAGATGTCTATGATTTAGACTTTTGTCTTGAAACCAGTAGGCGAATCATGGCTGTGATTTAGATAATTAAATTAAAAAAATAGTTTAATTAGCATAAAAAAACAAAAAAACTCATTATCACACATTTAAATAACTTTTTTAAGTCCTTAAATATGTTTTTTATTCCTCCAAATAAACGTCGATTTCTTATGCAACACTTTATTTTAAAACGCTAGGAAAGTCTTTTCCCTCTTCATGTTATTCATTTATTAATGTCTGATTTTTCTATTATTAAATGTTTTCTGGTTTACTTTTAATCCTGTAAATAAACTAAATCGATAATTTAAAAAAAAAACTAATTAAATGGTATTTAAGATTAGTTAGCAAAGGAATTGAAAGAAAAAAAATTAAGCTTTATTTTTCTTTTAATTTGAAATTAATAGCACACAACACATTTCTAGGTAGGTATATAGCATATTGATTATGACATCATTCACAATTTTAGATGTTTAAGGTTGATGTCACGTACATTAAACCATATTTAGGAGATGTAAAATATTATTATTTAGATTAACAGGTTTTAATTTAATATCTTGATGCTTTACGTCTGCATTACCAGAAGTAATATATTAAATAGGTGTATCATTGGAGTGAGAAAATATTAATTCAATTTTAAAACATCAATTATTAACATTAAAGGATATAGAAAGGAGGTACTATTTTTTATAAATAAATAATAAAAATATAACTAAATTTTTTTAGAAAAATATTTACTTACAGTTTTTATTATTTATTATATAAATATGAGTTAGAATGAGAATCAACTTACAGGGTAGCCGAGGCAGTCACTTTAGATAACTAAAGACTAATTAATAGTGTAACGGTCATTTATGGATAGTTAACAATTATATTAGTGGGTATTAGTGAGTCAGATTTGTCTTACGCTTTATTAATAATTGATTATTGAGTTTGATTATCTAAAATTATACTGTATTAATGGTTAATTAATGGACTTGACTGCCACACAATCCCGGTAAATATTCTTGAAAAAAATTGGACGATCGGAGCATAGCATAACATAGCAGAACAAGAAATGACGACCGATCCTCATACCTTTTCAACCGAAACATATTCTATTTGTTCAGAAAATAAAACTAGTGATTAAAGATTAAGAAAATTGTCATCTATTGAACTTAATGAAGTTACAAAATATTATTTTATTCTTGTCATGGAAAGTGGAGAGAAATCCGAGCAACCTTATTTGATCCTCTCGATTTAAAGTAATTTGGAGTAAATTTAGCTATGCAAAGACTTAATTACTGGGAAAGGAAATAAAAAGTTTAATATTTAAGGTGGTACAAAAGAATAAATCAAATTAATTCATTTAGAAAATGCAATTAATTTTAAAACAAAGACTTAAAGATTTTTTTTTGTAAATCCCAAAACATTAGCTTAATTTTGAAGAGATAGTGGGGATATATAGTTGACATGTTTATTATCAAGAACTCGTTTTATTATTTGAGTAATAATAATTTTAATACAAAGAAAATATTTGATTTTAATATTTTTTATAAAATATTTAAACATTCCATTCTAAACTATTTTAATGAGTATCTATGTGTAAATTATCATTTTTATATGTAAGAAAGTCAAGTTATTGCACTTACCTTCTTTAATTAATTAATTTATTTATTAGATCAAGAGAAAAAGAATAATAGAATATAAGAATATTCTATAAATTTAACTTGAATAGAAATAAAGTTTAGCCATGTTTCTCAAAAACGCATATATGTTTGGATGTTTTCCTTATCTCTCACTATGAAGCAAATACAATAATGTATGTGCTCACTTTATACATAATTTTATCGATTAAATTTTTAATTATGAATTATTATATAGAAGGATTTCATTGTAATTATAACAGTTGTTTGTAGGTGCCATCATATGCAATCATATCTCCAAAACATTGATAATCTGTCCTACATGAAATTATTTATAATTGCAATTGGGTCATTTTGTACAATAATTAATAATTAAAAATAAAATAATAAATGGAATCGCGTCTAAAGTGAATATACATGACACTTGTTAATTGGTAACACATGTAGACATCACCAAAATATGCTTTAAGAAACATGTACACAAAGATTGACCGTATCTAAATTGGCTTTCAAAGATAAATGTGTTACCTCATTGGCCATTTATTAAATTTGTTATAAAAAAGGGTACTTAAAATATTCATCTATTTATATATAAATGTTTTCTATTCATATATATATGCAACTTTTTCTCTATTCAATCTACCCACACAATTTGCTATTTTTATTGACGTGGTTTGTCCAACATATTTAAGAGCACTTGAAGCCCTTTATAAGTTTAATAATATATATTTTTTTGAAAAAAAAATGTTTTTTTTAAAACCATTATGTTTTACTGAAAGTTTACCTTATTATCTTTTAATTGTGCAAATTATTTATTTCACATGCGTTTAACAGTTTTTTTTTCTTTTCATTGATATTAAAGTCAATTCATTCTTGCAACACAAGCAACACTTACTTTGATGAGCTGTGAAAAGACATTCAATAATATGGAGAAACATATAAAGTATGAAATATGGAGAGTGACATTTAGACAATTTGAACCAGAATACATATATATTTCGGATAAAGCGACTTTGGGTAATTAAAGAATTTGATAAAGATATATGAAGTTAGATTTGAGAACTGATATATTTAGAATGAGATCACTTTTGATATCACTAATTATTACGTTACTTAATGGGAATTGATGAATGATTAACTCTGAGTGAAAGAAAAAAATATAAAAATTATGAGTCGCACAAAAAATAAAATTCATTTTTAACCTGCTTTATCATTGGATAGTCCATGATCTTCGGTAGAGCCACACGTAAAAATAGATATTCTGATAAACAATGATGTTTGTTTCACGCTCTATTATCAGGTGCGTCAATGAAATGAAAGTAAAGAAAAAAAATAGACAGTAAAATTAAAATAAATATAAAGGATAAAAAATCTTTGAAAAAAGAATGGATAAGAAAATCCAAGCGAAAAAAACTACTACTTTTACACGTTGGGGATATGTTTGTCTCTACCTATTGTTGGTAGCAGAAAAATGCGCGAAGAAAAAATGAAAAAAGGAAAATTAAAAATATTGTTAATTGTTTTTAGGTGTTTTTCTTTATTTTCGTAGCTAAACGTTTCCATTTTGAATTTACTTTTCTCCTTTATATTAATTTTATGAAAGAAAGTAAAGAAAGAGAAAAAAAAAGGATTGGTGCACAGTAACTCCCAGCTTATTGAAATGAACTTGTATTTCAGCGAAACTTGTTAGGCAGTGGGATGTAGATACAGCCTTACGCATTTCAACTACATTAAAAAAAGAAAAGAAAAAAAGAGAGGATAGAACAACGTTGTTAACCCCCTCTCACGTTGCAACGGACACAATCACTTATATCCCAAATTACTCCAACAGGAGAAGGATACAGAATATTTTTAAATCAATTAAAACAAAATTAATTAAGTTTAATTCAGCTGAATGCAACTTCTTGGATTGTGCCTAACAGTTGATTCACCGCCGCCGCAATTTCATCCACCGTGTTCAGCTCGCAACCCTCCTCTACCTGCTCCATAAATCCAAACACGGAAGAATAAGAAATGGAAGAAAGAAAAAAAAAGAAAAAGGGTGTTGGTTGAGGAAGAACCTTAACGCTGATGGAGTAAAGGACCATGTGGTGGAGAGTGGTGACATTGAGGTGGAGAATGGTGAGTCTGAGAGTTTGAAGGCCGAGAACGATCTTCATGAGATGGGAGGGTTGTTTCTTCGCGAGAATCTTTAGATTGGCATGACTATCGACCATGGTGACTTCAATGTCTGCTACGGCCCACTGTTTCTGTTCCTGCTTCTGATTGCCACGTGTCGTGTACTGAGGAAACGTGAAGAACTCGGCAAAGGGTGTCGTCCACCCATTCAACCCAACATTCTCTTCTTCACCCTGCTTCCGTCTCTTTTCACCCTCCATTGACTGCAAAACCTGCTCCAACTCCTTCACGAAGTTAATGGCGCCTCCGATGATAGACGCTTGGTCACCCTGTTTAAGTAACCACACGGTTAGGCCATTCTTAACTAACTAATCATCATTGTCGCAATAACAAATCAACTTACCCTCTGAACGTAAGAGGAGGGCATCAAGGATCGGAGTACGGCTAAGTACTCGTTCATCTGCTTTCTGCGGTTCCGTTCAACTGCAATGTGGGTCATCCTCTGGTTTTCGATTTCCTCTTTGTTCTTCGCGCTCTTCGTACGGCGCCGTTTCCGCCGAGTCGTGGTTGTGGCGGTGGCTTCAGCTGTGGAAGAAAGAGGTGGGATCATGGATTCATCAACAGTGCAGGCTTCGGGGGAGGAGTGAGAATCCCATTGTTCCTTCACATTTTGCAAGACCGAGGTAGAAGAAGAATCCCAGGTTGTGTATAGGTTGTCTTCTATGTTGTTGTTGATGATTCCTAAGAGGAGTTTCTCTTCTTCCGCCGCTTGAAAACCGTAATCGGGTGCTGCTCCTACTAAGGAGTAAAAATAATCCTTGCAAGCGTACGGAAACGGATCTTGCGGAAATACCACAGCCTCTAGCGCCATTATTTGTGAGCTTTTCTCACAAAACTTCTCCCTGTAGCTAGCAATGGAGCACGAAGTCACGAACACAGTACTTTTTTTGTGGGAGATGATATATATATATATATAGAGAGAGAGAGAGAAGGTTGAGAGTGGAAAGAGGAAAAGAGATATGGAGAGAAGAAGAAGAAGAAGAAAGTTGAGGTGGAAGAAGAAGAAGAAACACTACGTTACCAATGGACCAAACAAACTCCCCCTTTTATCAACGCATTACCGAGAAAGCTTGTTACCTTTTCACATGATTATTCAAAGAAACAAAAAGCTACAGCACCCTGCACGTGAGGTTTCATTGCTGTTCTAGACCACTTCCTTGATCGCGTAAACTCAATTAGCTACACACACGCACAGATTCTCTTCGCGCTTTCTTTAATCCTTTATTTCCAATCATAATGCCCATGTATTATTAATAACTACGTCATAATTATAATAACAATAACCACCTCACAAACTTATTAAAATGCTTCCCCTGTGTCAGATCTGTATCGAAATGTGCTATGTTTTTTCAAACATTTTATGCTGTCTTGTGTCATTCACTTGCGCTATATATATAATTTTTGGTTTCCTCTAATTTCTGCGAGGGAAATTGCGTTAGAATATCATAGAGAATATAAAACTTCAATCTCTTTCGTGAATAACGTGGTCTTATCCGCAGTTCCATATTATTAAATTTGCAAGTACGTGAAAAAAAAATGAAAGCATATGGTAGCTAGCCGGTGCTTGAATGTATGATTATACAATCCAATCCAATAATCAAAAGACATCTGCGAAACAAGAAAAAATGGTTGTTGCAAAGAGGCAAGGACGGTCATCTCCTCGGTGGACATGGACAGATTTGGTGAAACAGAGGGAGAAAGTGGTCCTTTTGGAGTTGTGGAGTTACATAGAAGAGTTTTACTTAATTTTGTCCGATAAGTTTTAGAATTAAAAAAAAAGGAGTAGAGTATAAAATTGTGTGTAGTTTGATTTGGTAATAATGTGGTCGGGTATTGGGACATGAAAAAGAGAAAGAATAGGAAAAGATTGGGAGAAAGAAGCATAAAGAGAAGAGAAGAAAGAGAGTAGGTGAGGAATAGGACAAGGTCCAGAGTTCAGAGGAATCCATGTGACCACACAACAGAAAGGGCCATTCTGTAATCATCTTCCATCCACAACACACACCATTCTCTTCTCTCTTTCCTTTTCCAACCATACTGTGCCCTTTTTTTCACCATTCTATATATTAATATTTCATCTTTACACAGTAAATATGTAAAGTTCCATTCTCAGGATTTAGACGTCCCAACCTGCACGTAACAAAACCATGCTATGTCAGACTTCTTTACACCACATTTCTCTTTTCTTATAAGCAAAAACTATCAACAAAAATTATTACCTCTTTTGTTAAACTCATCAAATTATTTTATATTATTATTATTATTATTGTATCCACTAAAGTTAAAACTTCAAGTATCATTAGATTAAATTCAAAACAGTAAAGACGGGTAAACAGGCAAAAACTGAATATGAAATGTTGTTAGTTTATATTTGTAAAGATTACCAATATATTTAAAATAATAAAATTTGATTATTTTAATATTAAAGTATAAAATAGAATTATTAAACGAATTTCATTACTTTAAAATATTTTATTTCTGTACTATTTTTAGAACTTTTTTTATTTTCTGTTTCTCTTTAAGTTTACAGTTTAGATCTTTTTAGAATTGAAGTTTAATTTTTGAAGTTATTTTGAGGATGACTGTAATCCTTAATTATTTTTGACTGTTTTCCTATATTATGCATTATGACGTATTGATTATATGTATGCTTTTTCTATATATTTTGGGACGTCACAGTGATATTTTTTATTTAACTTTTTGGATAACCGAAGCCAAAATAAAAATAATGGAAACCTAAACATTTGTTTAAAGTTATTTATTTTGAAATTTTACACTTGTGTCAAAAATTTGGTCTCTGTAGAAGATTTCTCTCCAATCAGTTTTTTCATTTGTATAAATTGAAATTATGTTTTTTTTGTTGTTGAATCCTAACTGTACGTGACCTTCTATTGGTTACATGTGGAATTTTAGTCTAGTTTTTACTAATCATAATGATATATAATATAATCATATTTGTGATATTTTTATGTATAAATAAGATATTTGTGAGTTTGGAGGTGTGATTGTCATCTTAAAACTATCTTGATTTGTTCAATCAGGTGAGGGAAACTAAACTTTTATGTTTATGATATGCTTGTTAAACTAAACTTTTATATTTATGATATGCTTGTTTAGTGATTATTGTTGAATTTAAGTTTGAATTTATGTTTGGATGGACTTGTACTGATTTCTAGTTTCTTTTGCATATTTGACACTTTGATAAATCATGTATGATAGAATAAAACTGTGAAATTGTTGATTCTGTGCATTCGTCTGTGAGATGAATGAGACTTATAAACTGGTTTTGTTAAAATGGTATTTGTGAGTCTTAAATTGGGTAATATTGGAGACTGTAATTAATTGTAAAAATATATATTTGATAAAACACATAATAATGTTATATACTCGAATTCACCAATAATATATTTAATTATTTATGGACTTCTTACAGTTTTTTTATTAGTGTAGACTAACCACTAATATCACACAATGGGAGGTACCTATTTGTTATAACTTATTAATAATCTTCTAGGATTTGTCGGATTGAAAACTCTATTACTTATTTGTCATCACTTATTATTAGTTATTTTCTGAGAAAATTTGACTCTTTAGAATTGAAGATGTTTGTCTGGATAATTTTTTATTTTATTTCTGATTATTTGTTTATAACTTTAACCTTACATATAATTAACACCCATTTTATTTCATTTCTGCCACATACATGTTTGGCAGGTTCAAAAACCATTAATTAACCATTTGACCACATAACTGTAAGCTTTCTTCCCTTTGTTTTCTTGGGTCTCCCTTCTGCAGAATGTGGGTAACACAATAATATTTATTTATTTATTTATTTATTTATTATCATTATAATATTCCATCATTTTTTTATTATAGTTCCCATGCCAACATCTGATATATTGGAGTATAAAATGATTAATCTAATAAATAAAAATCAAAACCCAACTGGCATTCCTTTGAATTATCAGAAAAAAAAATGTGGATTACGTGTTTCGATGACTGCTTAACCATAGAACAATTTGGCTCATTAAGATACGTGGTTGCTAGAATATATAGGCATAGTTTTATGCTACATCTACAACTACTGCATCACTAAATACTATTATAATTCATTTCTTAATTCGCTACCTGTTCACGGAATTATTGTCCGTACTCGTGCCACCTATTTTCATTAGTTCAAAATCATACTCGTAAATCATGCATTATTCTGCCATTAGTTTAAACCAACATGCCTCTTTCTAAATTATACTTTACCGTATAATTAACTTCCTTCAAAACTATGTTAGGATCGTACAACAATACCCTCATAAATAACTATTTCCACGATCCTCTCTCGTGAATGCTCGTGAGAAAAACAATACCACTGCATAACGGGATTATTTTTTCTGGCCCTTTACGTATACATACGCGTATTTTTAAGGGAAATGTTAGGTTTTGCAAATCCATTTTAAAGATCGTATAAGCTATTGTTAATGAAAATGTGTGTTCACTTTGAAATTACAAATCACATCACATGCAATGATTCGTTCGGTTCTTCGATCTCATATGATAACGAAATGCCTAAGTCTAGCAATATTATTTGCGCACGTGTGTGTATCTATTTATACGAGTATGCCTACTGTACGGGAGTATTTTTGAAGTTAGATAAAATTGATAAATATATAATTTATTTATCTCATTTTCCTTAAAAAAAGTATTAAGACGTCTGTTATTTACTTAATCTTAAGAGAGTAAGAACTAAACATCCATAGTTCAGACAATCATATTTTGATATCTAATAATTTTTACATTTATTCTATATATGTTATTTTATTTTTTATCTTCTATTTCTCTTTATAAATAGCACTATTCAAAACAAAGAAACTATGTTATCCAACATTACTTAGCAATAACTAACTGAGAATTTTGGTTTAAAATAGTATGATTTCAACACAATTTTCGCAAATAACATGTTATTCAAATAGTAGTATTTACTTCTTGTTGTTTCGACGCTGAAAATTAAATTTTAAACTGATAAAAAAAGAAAAGAGGATTGAATTTCTTTAGATAGCATATAGGTTGATTATAAACAGAGTTACTTAAATGTTAAATTAAATTTCTGTAATTTTATTCAACTGGTTTTGTTGTATATATTCAACTAATAGGACTTTCTAATTCAAATTCTTATTAACATGTAAGAGGTCTTTCTGAGTTATACAGTTCTCATCTTGTTTATTTTTATTAATACCTACAACAGATACCATAATTTCGTAATTATTTTCACTTTTTAATAAGATACTTTTACCTATATGTGAAAAATATGTAAAATTTAGATTTTCTGTTGCTTTTTCTTTATTTCCCTGCTATGTTTTAAAATTATATAGACACTGATTTTACTGTTTTAAAATATATTAAAAATATTTTTAAAGGATCAACATCAGTGTATTCTTAAGGTTTAATCTAACACAATATCAAAAAATCTCCGTGAAAAAATCTGGATATTTCATAATTATTTCACAATTCATTATAAATAAAATATTTTTTATTTAATAGAATATGTAATTGAACAATCTCTTTATGTAAAATCATTATAACTATACAATATCATCTAATTTATATTTATTTTCTGTTACAAAAATTTATCCAATCTCACTTCTTATATTCTATTTGTTTTTCTTCAACTTCTGCATTCTCTTTCTCTTTAACTTATGGCATCACGTTCTTTTAATATCAAATGTAAAACCTTTAAAACAATATTTCAACTTTAAACAAAAAACGTAAAAGTAAAATAAATTATACAAATGAATATTTATAAAAATATATTATATTCAAAATTAATATTCACATTAATATCTGTGAAAAAATATTTACAACAATATATGAAAGAAAATCCTATTTGGGTTCATATTTTTATTCTATCATTAATTGTATTTTAAAATTGAAAAATAAAAAAGTATTTGAATATAAATTATCCAAACACTAAAAAAGCATACATACTTCAATAAAACAATACATTACAAATCATCTACTTTAATTACCGTTGTTAATTTTCTTTTCTTGAAAAATTAACCCAAACTTAAACATCAATCATTAATATAAAGTCTTACAAAAAAAGAATTAAATTTTTTCCTTTGCTTGTAAAATGTAAAAAAAAAAAAGAATTTCTTGGTACGCATATCGTTTGCTTTTAAGTAGTC